CAACTCACACAGGTGGGCGCCTGGAGGGATAAACTGCAATTAATATATCCTCTCCTACCCAATAAAATCCATCTCACACAGGTTTCTTCATCATAAGCTCCTAGGGCACTTTGCAACCAAATACAAAACTGAGGTCAGCTAAAACGAAAACTAGTTATAAAGCCATATGATGCAGCTTAGGCAAATGTTTCAGATAAGCTCATTTGTCATAAGCTATAATGTACAGTAAAGTAAGAAGGCGACAACAACCAGTTCACATGGGGAATCAGCCCTCGCTTGTTCACCCACTCTTGTCACGTGGCTGCAACATAAGCATATTTACTCATGAGTAAGAAAGCCATAGGTAAAGGTAAAGGGACCCCTGACCATTAGGTCCAGTCATGACCGACTCTGGGATTGCGGCGCTCATCTCGCTTTACTGGCCTAGGGAGCCATTGTACAGCTTCCGGGTCATGTGGCCAGCATGACTAAGCCGCTTCTGGCAAACCAGAGCAGCACACGGAAACACCGTTTATCTTGCCGCTAGAGCGGTACCTATTTGTCTACTAGCACTTTGATATGCTTTCAAACTGCTAGGTTGGCAGGAGCAGGGACCGAGCAATGAGAGCTCACCCCGTCGCGGGGATTCGAACCGCTGACCTTCTGATCAGCAAGCCCTAGGCTCTGTGGTTTAGACCACAGCGCCACCCACATCCTTAAGAAAGCCATACACACGGTCATATTAAAGAAGATAAGGACAGCCCATTTAGTCCAGCATCCTCTTCTCAAAGTCAGAACCGGCCCAATACATTCTGCTGCCTGAGGCAAAGGACAGTATATTATCTCTCTCCCTGTTCCCTGCGCAAACGCCAAACAGATTGGCAGGTGCATCTTCAACACCGTAAAGGGAGCAGCACCCTCCGCCTCACCCAAAAGATGCTTTCTAGATTAGGGCAAGCCTTGTGACATGTGCTCAGATGCCTCCCCATTGCTGCATACATTGCATCATTTGACGCCTGAGGTTGTACTCTATCTATTGGCAGGGCCAGCCATGCTCATAGTGGCCCACCTCTTGCCCATGGGAATCCCACAGGAAGAATCTGAGGTCAACAGTGCTCTCCCCACTTGTGATTCCCAGCCACTGGAATTCAGATACCATATGTTGTGTATAGCTATCCTAACCTCCTAACCTTATCCTCAATGACTGTAAGCTGATGACCATTGTCTAAGTCAATGACCATCACCAAACAGCAAATTCTATTAGCTGAACAGCATACCTTTATCTGAGTGCTGAGATTCCTCTGTTGCAGCTTCACAGCTTTCTCATTAGTTATACTGAAGTCCCAGACACAAAGAAGCTTGGCAGCATTTCCAGTGTACATCTGGGGATGAGCAAAGTTGTTGCGGAAGGACTTTGCCATGCTACAATGAAAAGCAAAACATGCATCAGCGGTTGTATGAAAATGGGGAGGGAAGCAGAGAAAATATTAGATGAAAAGCAGTAAATCGTACAAAGTGGGACCTGCAACAAATGTTGCAGCATGAAGTACTCCTGCTGCAGAGCCACCTAGTCATACCCTTTTCCAGGACACTCCATTCCATCCCTTCTCATTTTCCTGTCCGCCCACCTCCCACCTGAGAGATAGAAGGATCGTCTGGTCACTGTTGCATCCCCTTAACTTTTTATGTAAACATTATATATACACACACACACACGGAGTGGTACCTCGGGTTAAGTACTTAATTCGTTCCGGAGGTCCGTTCTTAACCTGAAACTGTTCTTAACCTGAAGCACCACTTTAGCTAATGGGGCCTGCTGCTGCTGCTGCGCCGCCGGAGCATGATTTCTGTTCTCATCCTGAAGCAAAGTTCTTAACCCAAGGTATTATTTCTGGGTTAGCGAAGTCTGTAACCTGAAGCGTATGTAACCTGAAGCATATGTAACTCGAGGTACCACTGTATTGGCAAGCCTCAGGGATGTCAAGTTTGCCAATACCTCCCCTTGTATGCATGAATGGTGCTGTTTTGTCTACATAAAAGATCAGTGGCACCCACAGCACTCACGTCAAAATCCAAACGCACCCATGGGCCTAAAAAGGTTGGCAACCCTTATGTTCGCTCAAAAGGTTGGAAGGCTGATGGTGATACTGTGTAGTGAAGTACAGATGGCTGTTTTCTTTCCTTTTCATTAAAGAAAACAAAAATTAAGACACAAGAGGCCATTTTGAGCAGAGAAGCAGCAAGAGAGGGTGGACTATTCTGTGACCCTACAGATGTTGTTCACTACAACTTCCATCACCTCCAACCACTGGCCACACTTGCTTGCGCTCATAGGAGTTGGAGTCCAACATCTGGAAGACCACTAGGTCTCCCATCCCATCCCAGCTTTCAAACAAGCGATCATTTTTAGCACTCAAAAATATTCTAAAGAGCAATTCCCCCCCCCCCCACAGAGTCACCTTTAAATCCAAGAGAAATCTAAATCTCACTGTACCTGTAGAGCAAGCTTAAGAAGCAGATAATAAAATAAATTCCTATGGTGAAAATGTAAGCCAGCTGCATGTAATACGGAGAGTTGTTCTCATTTTCAGTGATGGTAGTATTGGTGTAAAAACCGTAATAGAGCACAGTGTCGCTAAAATAACCCTGAAAAAAAAAGAAACATAAATGTGGCTCAAGCAGGTTAACGAAAGGTTTCACTTATGAACGTGAAAACGCCATACAGTGCGGGGGTTGTTCTGTTTTGTAACATGAGAAACTATGACACATGCTATTGGTTACATCATTGACATGTCACTGAGAGGATAAAGAGGAATGGGGTGCCTGTGGCCCCCCCAGATGTTGGGACACCAACTCTCATCAGCTCCAGCCAGCATAACCAATGGTCAGGGATGATGGGAGTTGGAGTCCAACAAGGACCTCACCCCTGGAGTGATAAAGCAATGCATGCACACTTTTGCAAAAGGGTTGTTCACTACATCACAAAAGCCCAGATTATGAAGAGCAAGATAATGGGACAAAGGATGGAAGGAAATAAGACCCCACCAGATGAGCAGGGTATAAATAATAAAATTATTTCAGCAGAAATGCTTTGGAGTTCCGCCAGAGGTCTAGAACACAGCACAGCTGTAACTGCACTGCAAAGCATCTGCTGACAAGAAAACCCAACTGCTAGCTGCTCAGGCTGTGGATGGCTGCATACAGAATTTCAGAAGGTTTAAAGGGAGAAATGGGGGGGCACACAGATGCAGTGTGTAGTCCTCCTTGCGCCAACTTATAATGGAATAAGCCAGACTGCAAACACTGAAGTAGACCATTGATCCAATCCAGGTCAAAATCCAATCAAAAGGGATCAGGAGAGTCTACTTTGGAATCTGAGGACAGATTCCTCCTCCTTCCCCATTCCAAGTGTGTGTGAGAAGGAGACCAAATGAGATTGGTTGGTTGGTTGAATGCATGAATTGTGGGGAGGAGTTGTGGTCCAGTCAATTTTAGACATGGTCTCTGTCTCCGCCATATAGTGGTACCTTGGTTTACAACTATAATCCGTTCTGGAGGTCCATTTGTAAACAAAATAGGTTGTAACACTAGGCACACTTTTGCCAATGGGGCCTCCAAATTTTTTTTGTTCATAATCATAACAAAAACAAAAAACAAGGGCTGTAATCCAAAAAAAGGTTGCAGACTGGGACACGCACTTCCGGGTTTGATGTGTTTGTCATCCAAAACGTATGCAAACCAAGACATATGCAAAACAAGGTACCACTGCATGTGGTACCAACACCAGTCCCATTACACAAAAATGTAGTCCAGCTCTGCTTTAGGCAAGCTATATTTTAGAAGTCCTCTGTAGCACAAGGCTTAATTATTGGGGGGGGGGGGGAACAAGCCCATATGAAACCTATTACTGTTTTAAAAACGCACTTACGGCTCCAGTGAAAAACTCCAGCCCCAGGAATGATAGGTTATTTGCTCTCGCTGCTATGAGCTGAGGGATCGCAATAAAACTGAAGTTCACAAGGAATGAAAAAACGTTGAACATCAGAAGCCATGTCAGGAACACGAAATAGGAACCGACGCTGGTCCCAAACTTTCCACCAATGTCTTTTAGAATCTTCTGCCAAAGTTTGAGGAGCTGAAAGCAGTCTGACAAGCCGTTTTTAAACTGTCGAAAGGACTAGGAAGAGGAAGGGGGAGAGAGAGAGAGAGAAAACAAAGCATCAAGCCTTTGGGTAATGTCAGGGAACTGCCATCGGTAGGAAGGGAGGTGAAAGGACTCAGACAGGTTGGAAGAGACTTAGCAGCTGAAGAGGAAACCAGCAGGGGGAGAGAAGCTGAACTGAGGGAGGTGAAAGGGCTCAGACAGGTTGGAAGAGACTTAGCAGCTGAAGAGGAAACCAGCAGGGGGAGAGAAGCTGAACTGAGGGAAAGGGAGCTGGGTGGATGGCTCAGAGATACTTCCAGCGAAAACAGTGGTGAGGTTTCCGGACCTCCTGTAGCGACACCCACTCCTCGCCGGAAACTGTCACGCAGAGAGTCCAGAAGACGTGTTTCCGTTAAGGAGCTTTTATGTTGGAAGCGATTACGAAAGCAACCACTGTCGGAATCTTCTAGTGACTAAGAGGAGCCATGTCAGAGGGGCTCAGTCACAGACAGAGGTTTGTGGACTTGAACAAACTCTGAGGGAATACGATTTTACGCACAAGCAGCTCATAATCCCATCACAGCATTCCGACAGTCTTTGAACGCAGCTTGTGCAGGAGAAGGCATAATGAGCAACCCAGCAGGAACCGGAGAAGCAGGGGCTGGAGCGGGTCCAAGCCTGGAAGAAAGGTACCGAGTGTTGGAGGTCCAGCTGGCGCTGCAGACGGCGAGGCTGGAGGAGAGGAGGGCTCAAGATGCAGACAAAAGGGAGAAAGCCACCCAGCTCGCCAGAAAGGTACCAGGATTGGTGCAAAAATTTGGGGGGGAGCCCAAAGACTATCATAGCTTTCGGACAGAAATGCAATATGCCCTCAATCTGCAGTTTGATGATTTCCCTGATGAGGAATCACGAGTGGCTTTTGTGATTGGGCATCTTGAAAAGGGGGCGAGAGACTGGGTTAGACCCCTGATGGCAGCGCATAGTGACGTCCTAAAGGACACGATGAAGTTCTTCGCGCCATGGATCTGATGTTTTCCAGCGATATTGAAAAGGGAGTGGTGCGCAGACAGTTAATGGCTTGCAAACAGGGGAGCCGATCTGTACGTGAGTACTGGACTGAGTTCACCATGCTGATACACAGATTGGGGTGGGACTTATCGGCGGAACCCATTCAAATGCTCTTTGAAGAAGGGCTTTCTTCGGCTGTGAAAGATGAACTTTCCCGGGCGCCCAGGGCGGAGTCTATGGACCAGCTGACCAAATCAGCGCTGGCCATAGGAGCGCGCCAGGAGGCGAGAGCATTGGAGAGGCGGGAAGGGAAAGGGGAACGTTGGAAGGAGTTCCGCATTCCAGAAATTCCAGAGCCAACTGTCCCGCCGGCAGAGCCGATGGAAATCGGAACAGCGCGCGCGCGCAGTTTCAAAGCCCAATGATGGGGAAAGAAGGATGGAAAAGGCGCCCGGAAATGCTATCTCTGCCAACAGCCAGGGCACTTTGCCAGAGTCTGCCCCCAGAGGAAGGAATGGCAAGGGATGGTGGGAGCTGTGGAGGGAAGAGAGGAAAAATACCGGAGCAACTAAAAGCCAACGCCTGGCTGCCATTGTCGGGGCACAGCAGCCAGGCCAAAGAGCAGTGAAAGTGCCCACTCCAGAACCCTCCTAAACCCGCCCTAGTGATAGAAGTGACACTAGAGCTCCCAAACGGACACCCTCTAAAGATAAAGGCGCTGTTGGACTCAGGCAGCTCCTGCAATTTCATGAGCAAAGAGTTTGCAGCTGAACACCAGATACAGACGCTCCCTTTAAGCAACCCCCTGCAGGTAACCACGATCGATGGCAGGGAGCTGTTGGGAGGAGAAGTCAGCTTGCAGACCGTCCCAATGATAATGAAGGTGGCAAGGCACACTGAACTGATAGCTTTTAATGTGGCCACCTTGGGAGGAGCTCCCATTATATTGGGGATGAGCTGGCTAGCGTTACATGATCCGCTGGTGGGCTGGCATCAGAGAGTGGTTTCTTTTGGGTCAGCACATTGCTTAGAACATTGCAAAGAGGGAAAGGTTTTGGCAGGGGCCCAAGCCACCCTAGCAGGGACTGAAGTGAAGGAGAACGTGAAGGTACCACGACAATACGCAGATCTCCGCGACGTCTTCAGCGAAAGGGAAGCTGACCAACTACCACCGCATAGAGCCTTTGACTGTCAAATCAATTTGCTCCCTGGGGCACAGCTCCCTGTGGGCAAGCTGTACGCCATGTCAGACAGAGAGATGCAGGAGCTAAGAGAGTTCATTGACAAGAACCTGAAGAGAGGGTTCATCAGAGAGTCCAGGGCGGTGGGGCAGCCCAGTGTTTTTGTGGACAAAAACACGAACAAGCCGAGACTGGTGTGTGACTTCAGGGCCTTAAATGCAGTGTCAGAACCAGTGGCCTTCCCGATGCCCAGGATTGACGACATTTTGACAAGGGTGCGAAAGGGAAAGATTTTCACCAAGCTGGATCTAAGGGGGCGTACAACCTGATACGAATAAGGAAGGGGGATGAATGGAAAACCACCATGTTCACCCCTTTAGGGGCATTTGAATACTTAGTTATGCCCTTCGGTCTACAAGCAGGCTCCGCAACATTTCAATCGTTTATGAACCACGTCCTGGGGCCGTTGCTTTACAAGAATTGTGTGGCCTTCTTAGACGACGTGTTGGTGTATTCTGAGAATGAGGAGCAGCATGTGAGAGACGTCAGAGAAGTGTTGAGCAGGCTGCAAGCCAACCAGCTGTGGGTGAAACTGGAGAAGTGTCAGTTTCATACCAAGGAGGTGGAATTCCTGGGGTATCGCCTGTCTGACAAGGGGTTGGCCATGGATCCCGGCAAGGTCCAGGCGGTACTGGAATGGAAAACACCCAAAACAAGGAAGGATGTGCAGAGGTTTTTAGGGTTTGGGAACTTCTATCGTAAGTTCATCCCAAACTTTGCCCACCTGACGGCGCCCATTACGGACTGTCTCAGCAGTAAGAAGAAGTTCGTTTGGACGGAGGAGGCGGAGCAAGCATTTGAGGAACTAAAAGGGCCTTCGCCTCGGAACAACAGCTCCTGCATGTGGATTTACAAAACCGATGAGAGTGGAAACTGATGCATCAGACAGAGCGGTTGGGGCGGTGCTTCTCCAGCCAGGGAAGGAGGAGTCAGAGTGGAGACCGTGTGCTTTTTTCGCGAAAGCTGAACAAATCCGAGAGGAACTACACGGTGTATGACCGAGAACTACTAGCCATTCATGAGGCGTTCCGGAGATGGAGGCACCTGCTAATTGGCGCACAACATAAGGTGCAAGTGTGCACTGACCACAAGAACCTAGAGTATTGGAGGACGGCACGAGTGCTCAACCAACGGCAAGTGAGATGGGCTCAGGAATTCTCCAAATTTAACTTTGAGATTTGTTACGTGCCAGGCCCAGAGAATATTAGGGCGGACGCCTCTCACGCAAACCTGAATATTTGGAGGGGGAGGGAGCACCGAAGAGAGACATGTCATTCCAGAGGACCGCTGGGTGTGTGGGGCGGCATTGGTGGGACAAAGAGAACTGGTAGAAGAAACAGAGAATGATGAATACGCCCAGAATAAGCTTAGAGGTCTTAGGGATGAGGGAGAGGAATCAAGGGGTTTCGAGGAAAGAAATGGAGCTTTGTATTACAAAGGGGCACTGTATATCCCTGAAGGAGACTTAAGGGGGAGGGTACTCAAGCAGTTGCATGACAGCCCCACGGCGGGCATTTTGGGCAACACAAAACCATGTGGTTGGTCACCAGGGAATTTTGGTGGCCTAAGGTGAGGGAGGATGTACGTGAGTATGTAAGAGGGTGCGAGCAGTGCCAGCGAGCCAAAGGGGAAAGGCGGGCGCCGGCGGGGCTATTAGAACCCTTACCAACACCAGAACGACCTTGGGAGGCAGTGTCGATAGATTTTATGACTGATCTGCCGAAGTCCAAAGGGAAAACAGCCATCATGGTGGTGGTAGACCTACTAACAAAGATGTGCCACTTTGTAGCTTGCTCGCATGCAGTCACGGCGGAAGAGACAGCAAAGTTATTTGTAGAACACATTTTTAGGTTGCACGGGGTGCCATTGAGGGTGGTCTCAGACCGAGGAAAACAATTTACTTCCAGGTTCTGGAGGAAGCTCATGAGCTTACTGCAGGTGGAGGTCAACTTTTCGACTGCCCGGCACCCTGAAACCAACGGGCAGGCGGAAAGAGCAAACGGTGTCCTCCAGCAATACCTGAGGTGTTATGTCAATGACAGAGAGAATGACTGGGTAGAAAAGTTGGCGCTGGCGGAATTTGCCTACAACAATGCCGAGAATGTGTCCACAGGGATGAGCCCCTTCTTGGCTAATTATGGGTGTCATCCCAGGGCTTTCCCAGGGGGAGAAGGGGAGAGATGGAGCGCACCGGCAGCCGAGCATTTTGTAGAAGAAATGGAAGCAATCCACCGTCAGCTCCAACTCAACTTAGAAAGGGCGAAGGAAGAATACAAGAGGCAGGCAGACAAGAACCGAAGGGAAGGTGAAACCATAAGGGTTGGAGAGAGGGTGTGGCTGTCAACCCGAGGGCTGCCGCTCAAAGGAGGTTGTAAGAAATTAAGACCCAGGAGGTTGGGTCCCTTTGAGGTCATTCAACAGGTCAACCCAGTGGCTTTCAGGCTCCGGTTACCCAACCACATGAAACTGCACCCAGTATTTCACAGGTCGTTACTGTCACCGTACGAGGGGGGACGAGAAGGGATGGCCACTGGGACCGGGTCATAGAAGAAAGAGAATGCAGCAGTCATGTGGCAGAAATCCTTGATGCCAGGTGGAAGGGGAATCAGGTGGAGTATTTGGTAGCGTGGGAAGGAGAACCGGAGTCAGAAAACACGTGGGTAATGGCCAAAGATATCAATGACGAGGTATTGATAGAAATGTTCCATCAAAGGTTCCCAAGGAAACCTCAGCCTGTGGAGAGGTTCCGGAGGGAATACTTTGGGACCACTGAGGAGGAGGAGGA